GATATCCAGCTATTCTTGATAGTTCCATCTTGATGAAAATTAGCAATAGAGGCCTACTTTTACTGAATTTTGACTAAACAAAGAAGAAAATTCCTTCAGAAAAATCACCAACTCTATTCAATTAAAAGTACGTTAGTCGATTTATGAAGAAGAGAAAATTGTTTAGTTGCATTTTCTGTTTATACAGTTTCTCCTAGTGTTACAGATAGATCATAACTGGAAACAGAAGAACCAATAGAGTGGGATTTTTGAGAAAAGACTGATGCTCTACCAAGAAAACATTGGAGTGAGAATTTATATTTTCGTACGCTAAATTTCCCTTAAGAAATCGATTCAATAAAGGAAAAGAATAAAAAAAAATAAGAAATATCTTGGTCTACTAATTTATAATATTATTAATACATCTATGGATTGTAATAAAAAGATTTTTGTATGTTTTGAATGGGAAAGATGTGGAGATGAGGGATAAAACTTATAATTTGACATTGGAGATTAATTTTCCTTTTTGATTAAATGGAAAAGGAATTTTTTCCTCCTTTTATAGTCACAGAATAAGGCGAAATTACAACATTAGCTTCTCTAATTAACGAAATAATAAGGAGCTTAAGGAGATCTTCACATTTCTACATTAATGACAAAATTAGAAATTGTAAAGTCAGCTTATTCTACTAACATTATCAGTATTTCCAGTAATAAAACAGCAAATATATGGGAAGTATCGACAAGAGATTTGGCTAGTACATATAAAGGACATGAAAAGTTATTAACTCTCTTGCTCTATATGATATTGTTATACTTTCTGAAAAATATATTTAATATTCAATAATTTAAACCAAAATTTTTTGATCGAAATTAAATTATAAGAATATTAAGTTAGAAATAGCTTAGCCTCAAAAGTCTAATGCCGGGGATTATTTTAAAAGAAAAGTCTCTCTTTTTATACTTCTGATAATATTGCCTAGTCAAAGTGAGTTACTTAAATAATGGAAGCCATCTTTGAGTCCAAAGGAATCGAATCATTCTCTCACTTTTCTCTTCCTTAGCTTTCAGGCTCAAGAAAATTTAATTTTTTTTTATCCTTTAGGTTTATATACTCTCCTTATTTCTTTTGTTAGAGTGGAATCAATAAAAATCTTACAAATGAACAACATAATCTTTGTAGAGTAGTGCATCTAGCTCAAGGAGAAATTGATCAAAGTTCTTGTAATTCCTATGCTTTTTAGTCTATTTTATGAGGCCATTGATGAAATCTTTATTGTTGGTTCAGCTCCTGGAATTACAAGTAATTATTATAGAATCATAAAGACCATAGACAAAGAAAAATAAAAATTGAGCTACTCCTGCTATTTATCGTCATCCTTATGCAATTGATGAAAGTTGAACACCTGTAAATTATTATTATTGGATTTTCTTTTTCTATTTTCTCCTATTGTCTCTTCTCATTTATAATAGATAAATTTTTTCCAATATAATAAGCATTGGGATGCGCAAAACAAATGGCTTTTTAACAATGGCTGACGATTATAAGAAAAAGGATGAGATTCATCTTTGTTAGTAATCAAGGTAATTGACTTTTTATATCAGACTTGAAGTTAAATTCTCTAAAATAGTTTATCTATGCAATTAATTTATGGTTAAAAGCAAAACAATCATCCTAATTTTCATATATTTGTTTTTTAAATAAATTAATTGCTTCAGCCCTTCTAGTTTTTTAGTGTCACCTTGAATATAAAGAGTATTTTTTGTAATGTATTCCTTTCTCATTTTAAAATCAGACAATTTCTTAGAACAATCGGTAGTTGAAATTTCACGTTCAGATGTGAAACAATTGGTCCATTCTGTAGAGGCCGCATATTATTTTTTAGTTATGAGAGGAAAATATCTCCCAACATTGGCATCCTACATAATTACTTCTGATTACTTATTACATGTACTATTTGGAAAGCTATATGTTCCAGAGATGAAAGATATCAAAATAGGTTTTTATTGTAGCCAATAACAAAAGAAAAAATTCTTGATGACTTGAGAAAATCACATAATAAACAAGGAATATCTTGGGTTTTGATTCTAAACATTTACCGAATAAGGAGGGGGCTTTGAATGTACTTTTTACCTTATAACCAAAATATCCATATTTTAAGAAATTTACCAAGAAAAATGTAGTGTAAAAGCATCATTTAGGAACAAACAAATAGATTAGTAAGTAAAATCTCTTGATTCAACTTAAGCGAAAAAGTCAGCAGTAAATGATTTTTAAAGTCCAAAAGAAATTAATCTCAAATTTAAGAATAAAAAATTACTAGAAAAGCATTTTCTTGAAAATATTAGCTTCACTTAATAGCAAGTTATAAAAGTCTCTTGACACTATCGATTTAGGCACATCAAAGGTCACTTAGGGTAAAAAGTCTATTCTTAACTGTGTCTGGTAGAAATGTTTCCTTTCTAATATCATCTAAATTATCACAGGACTTACACTAGTCAATAGCTTAATTTATCAAGTAGGTTCTTTTCATATGTAAAATTATGAAAAACGAGGTCCCAAATTATACCCAATCTTTAATATTGATATGAGATATTTCAAATCTATTTCTATCAGATCATTAAAATATAAGTTCAATATGATATTTATATTTCCACATTTCTTTAAAAGAAATTTTTGAAGAATTATATTTTAGTAGAACTGACTAACGATAATATCATCTATAATGAAAATATCATTTTTTATTTTGCCTGTTTAGAATTATTGCTAAGGACACTTAATGAGGTGAGATCATTTCCTTGTGAGGACAACTCTTTTCAATAAAATAAGACAAAATGAAATGAAAATATCATTTTGTTTAATGAGGCATTATGCAATAATGAATAAGACCAAATAATTGTAGTGGATCGGATTATTTTTGAGGAAAAGAGTGTGATACTTAGAGGAATTACATAACAAGAATTAAGGAAGCGAGAACGGCCATATAGTATTTTTTATCAGAACATTAAGATAAGAAGAATGAGATTTTCAACAGAAGAGAAATAGGAGGAACCTTAATTAGACCAGAAAAGCATATATCTTAAGAATAGCTTATTGTGAAGGAATGGATATTTCTGACTGGGAATAATAGAGATTGATACCAAAGTCTTCAAGCGCAAGCTGATAAGTAACTCAAGAAAAATTTGAAAATAAGATTTTTCTCCAGTACCGAGTTAGTTTAGGAGGTTATGACAGACTCATATTGAGGTGTAAACTAAAAATATTGGCGAAGTCCTGAATGCAATTATTTGGAGATTAAAGGATGGTTTAAAAGAAGGGTCTTAAAATTTTAATAACTGTTGAAACATAGCAGAGAGTAAGGGTCATGTTTCTTTTTGTGGATGATGGAAATTAGATGGGTTGATTGCTGATGTACAAAAGGTTTAAAAACGGAAGCAAGTTGGCTGATCGTTTAAGTAAATTGTTCTTTTTGGAAGGCAAATCTTGTAATTTTATTATTATCAGAATAACCTCATAAAATTTCTGGATGTTGAAATTTAAAACTAGAGGAACTGTACTAAATAGTAATTTATAGATTTTATTTGTTTAAAACTAATATCTTTCCACGTTGAGAATTATATTGTATAGTATTATCGATTTTCTTATTGAATAGTTCCATAAGTTTGATGCATTCTAATACTGTTTATACTCTATGAATAGAAGCTTTGATAAAATTTTGTCGATGATTGTGTATTTCAGCTTTTTTTAGAACACATCAATTTTGAGGAAAAAAAATGTGAAGTTTTAATTTAATATTTGCTTGTAGTTATGCTATTTAATTTTAATTTAATATTCACATAAAAAGATTCCTCTTATGAATAAAGAGGCATAAAAATATCGCGATGAATTTTTATTCTTATTTAAAATGATATAGGTTTATCTAGAATTATTAAATAATTATTCGAATTTTCTTTGGAGAAAGAATTACACAAATAAAAGAAGCAGCTAAGAAGAACCAACTTTAATGAGCACAATTAACTCTCAAGTAGATTTTAATTCAATAACCAAAGGGATTAGCACATAAAATTCAAGAAAAATTCTTGATTGATTAAGTATCCAGAATTTTATAAGAATACCTTTTAAATTATAAGAATAATAAATAAATAAGCACAAAAACTCTAACAAAAAAACAATACTAAACATAACTAAAATAAATTCTATATAATAATTATAACGAAAATTTATTTTAAATTTAGTAAAAGCCAACAGACAATTAAATATAATCAAACCGAAACATAATGCTCTTTAATTTAGTAACTTTACTCAATATTCCATCTAACTTCTATCTTTCAATTTTTGTATCAGCCTAGTACTTTAGTAAGTTCCTAAACCATTCTTTGATTATTTCCTTTCAATTGCTAACTTTGCTTTTCATTCTCCTAACCCCAAAACTTATTTCAATATTTTTCATTATTAATTTTTCCTAAAATAATAAACATTTTTAATAACTTCTCCTAATCAATCTTCTTATTCTTCTAGTCTGCTTTGAATATAATTTAGTAATCGATTTCCAATTTTAATATATTACCCATTTAATATCTTTATTTTTTCACCTTTCCTTTTGGCTATCTATTATCAAACCTTCAAATCATTTTGTTAGTATTTTCCGCACATTCTGGTTTAACAACAAGAGAGTTAAAGTAAAAAGTCTATTCGCACTAAATTAAGAGGAATAAACAATTTATGAATTTATTCAAAAATTATATACTTCCACATATTAAGGATGACTTTATTGATTTATACCTAATCGTGCCCTATAATGAAAGCAATTAACTTTTAATTGTGTATCACATAAATCATCCTCACTTTTGATCCCGCATAATGTATAATATTTAAAGTAGAATTGCAGGTCTTTCTCTTTTGCTCTCTTTGAATGAAACTAAAGTCCTAACCTGATTATCTTTCTCTGTAGATCTTTTTATAAGCAAAAAATGGGTTTTCCTCCTTATATCATCATTAGTATTTGTCAATATTAACATTATCAATCAATAGCTTGAATATAGCGAAGGAAATTCAGAATGCCCAGAGAACAAGTAAAGTAGAGAATTGTTACTAATATGAAATTTTGACGATAGAAAACGATTCCAATATAACTTCCTAAATATTATATAATATTCATAGATTACTTGGCAATGAATATAAATACTGTAAAGCAAAGTATGACCAAAATTGAGGGTTTGAGTTTGATTAAATATCATGAAAATATACCTTGACCTGATCTCTCACGCTCAACTGTCGTGTCATATAGAAAATAAAGCATAACATAAATGATTTTATTTTTTGCGATAATTATACAATCGCATCAGACTCATAAGTTGAAAAAATCTTATTTCTTTGTTTGATTAAATACGTATTGAATAATATTTTGGATTTAACAAATGCTATAATTTTGAATGAATTAAAGTAAGGATAAAATCAATTAAGAAAGAAAACATATAATAAACATAATAATGTAATTTATGTAGGCTTTAATTTAGACTTGTCTGAAAAGCAAATTTAAAAGAAGGAATTTGGGCATAAACTAATTTGAAGTTCAATTTAGCCAAAATGTAAAATGTAAAAATATATTAAATAATAATAAAAACAATCTTAAATTAAATTTGTGCTTTATAAATATTTTATAATTGAAATTTGGCTACAGAATTTCAAATTGCCTTACAAATTTTCATTAAACTACCTCATTATTGTTTCCAATTTTCAACAGTCAAACTTTTCTTCTAAATGTTAGAATTAATATTTTTATAATTAGTCTAATTTTAAATTTATTATCAAAATAACTAATTATATTTTTAATAATTTGAATAATGATTCATCCATTCTTCTTCATAATAATTACGAATATCTTCTAATTTAAATTTTCTCCGACTTTTCATCCCAAGTCATCAAATATTCTCCATCTTCACTCACAGATCCAAATATATTATAATTCTCAAATTGAATAGATTATTATGTGATAAAATGACCATTTTGGTTTCTCCTTATCAAATTAACATTTTTTCCATTCTTATTCACAAGTAGACATTTCGATTTAGATATTGTTAAGCAAACCAATATTAACATGAATCAGAATGGCTTTTCACATCAATTTGATTTGTTTATGAGTACTATTTATTTTTAATATTGATCTCATAAACAAACATATACTCTTTACCTTTAGGTTGAAATGTGAATACATTATCATTGATGAAGCATAATTGATAACCATGATGTTCAACTGAAATCCTTTATATAACAATCCATTTTTAATCCTTTTATTAGTGTTCTATTATTAATATCAACCTGTCAATTCCACAAGATATCACTCTATCCTATTTCTCATTCAAACTTAATCCTACTATATAATGCATGTGATCTTTAATAGTTTATGAGCATGTCCATTGATTCTGTTTTATCCAAAATTTAATTGTCATATCACTACTTCCTGATATTATTTGATCTTCATTATTATTCAAAATTAAGCAGTTAATGTAATTAGAATGTTCAATTAATTTGTATTAACAGATCCATTAACTATGTAAATCCATAGACCATATTATAATTTATTTATCTGCACTCCCAGATATAAATTGAGTCGATTTCTTCATAAAATTTAAAGTAGTAACAAAATTATTATGTTCACTTAGAAGTTGTATCAATTTCAAATATTCTTATTTAAATTCAAATACATTGATGTTATGACCACATCCAGCTAATACAATAGAATTATCTTTATTAAAAGCAATAGCCTTACACCATTCCCTTTATTGAATAGAATTATTTTGGATTAAATTATAAGAAAATGGATTAGAATTTGATTAATTTTGGTTGTCTTATATAATTGGATGTAATTATTGATTATTGTCTTTCGTATTTTTATCTGATTATGAAATCTCTATAAACTTTTGTTGATTTTATTAAAGTTGCTTATGCATAGTTTTTTTGAGAATAGGTTCCACTTATTGAATTAATTAATAAGCAAAATTTTCTATTGAATACAATGTGATCTAAGTTAAATTTGGGCAATCATTAATGATATTGTGAGCAACCGGTAGATAAGGAACAAGATGAAGTTAATCAAGAAATGCATCAATTCTGCTGAATGACAACTAATGATGATTTTAATATCCTACATTTAACTCTTATTAAACTCCTTAAATGCATTCCTCTAATCTATTTTTATTTTAAGCAATAATTAGTCGACTTTCCATTAAAATATTTTTAATATATTTTATTCATTACTGCATTTCTATAAAAAATAAGCAGGTAAATTCTAAAAATACATTATATTATTTTTTTTATCTAATCTTATAAATTTATGAACAGGACTCAATAAATTGTGATTATTGTTAGTTAAATTTTTCTCATGTGGGAATATTCTAGTTATCTCAAAAAGGTTAGATGGGTAATGTTTCTTGGGTTTTCTCCTATTTGGCTTAAATTGTAAGTATCCATCGCCATTTTTTCTTATGCAATTTTATTCAGTTCCACAATCTTATAGTCGACCAATAAGTTAGGAAACTTGATGCAAATTTAGGGAAAAGCAATAACAAGTAAATCTGACTGCATCGCTTAAGATGCCATATTTTTTCCTAAATAATGGCTTTGAAACAACATTCTTGATACTTAAAACCATATGCTATTTTGGGTCGATGTATATTTTATTAAATGATGGGCTTTCCAAATATTAGACTTTGACCCAAAAGAAACAATCAAAAATAAAATTCTTTGTAATTATACATCTAAATAGAGAAAAATTGAATTTATTAATTGTCAAACCTTTTGATATTAAAGATCATTAACATTATCTTTATTTGAAATGAAAATTCCATTTATGTATTATAATTATCATGATAATGAACATTCTTTTAATAGGTAAAATTCAGGACAATATGGGTAGATCAGGATTAGTTTTATTAAATTTGGGTTCTATCATCTAAAATGTTCAAATAAATCAACAATCTTAGAAGCAATATATTAAAGTATTGTTTCCAAGTATCTCAATGAGTAAACTAGCATCTTGCGTTTGATATTAAAACAGCTTTGGCTGTCTATATATAAATTTTTTAAATATCAACCTCTTGTAAATGTATAAATTACCAAAATATTTCAATATATCTTCTTTGGCAATATTTCACATTCTAGTTTAAGGTATTATCATTTTGAGACTTACAATCCAAATAAACTTTTTAATTAAGAGTCAGAGAAAAGAAGAATGGAATCAAAATATGATTTTATGAGACATCATAAAATAACTTAAATCAATTATTCAGGAGTATATAAAGATGAAGTAAGTTAAATCATAAAGTCAGGAGCAAATGATTCAGTTATATAGAAAATTTGATTGGTCACAAGTAATTCAAGAGAACATCTCAATGT